GCTCCGTGGGGAATTCAGCCCTTGCAGGTGGTACTTTCAACAGAGACGTGAAGCTGTGTGAGAAAGCGTCACAGTTTGGAAATCCGGGCGGTGGGTGTTATACTCTATATTTTCCTCTATGTTTGAAGTACTTTAAAGGAAAATAAAAGCAGCGGGAAGGAGCGTTCCTGGCAGGAGGAAAAAAAGGCAGCTTGTGCAGAGGCTCGCGTAATCCTTGTGAAAACCCCGGATTGTTGCCGCTTTGCAAGTGGAAACGAACCCGCCGGGAATTAGGTAACGTGGCCCGGTCACACAGCTGGAAAGAGGCCACGCCGAGACTTGACCCCGTGCTCCCCAGCTGGCTCCACAGCCGCGTTGTTTGTACGAACACCCCTCTTGACGGCCCGCTCTCGACCTCGTAACTCAGGGATTGCGCGATCCGTGGGACACCCCGTGAAGATGATGCGTTAAAGGACTCTGCGGCCTTTGTGACCGAGCAGCCTCTGTGGTGACCCCAACGGACCTTTATAAACGGTTCAAGTCTTGGCTGCTTTTCCCATGACGTGTTCCAGAGGGAGTGTCCCGGGTGACGGCCGCTTCCAGAAACAGGGAGGGAGGGAGCAAGGAAGACCCTCTGTGTTGTAGGCCCACCTTGCCGAGTCTTGTGGCCAGCCCGTGCCGGGGTCAGGGACGGTGACAGCCCAGCTACCCAGCACCGGTTAGCCACCGCATGGGCCTTATCTCCCTGAATCCCAAGAGCCGTGTTTGAGTTCATCGTTACGTTTATTGAAGGGAAGAGGAAAAGAGCCAGACCCCGGGACTTTGGGACGTGCTAGAGGTTCCAAGCCCAGAGTAGGAGAAAACCTGGGCTCAACACCCAGCTCTCCACCCCTCAAATGGGTCCTTTCTTCTCCACATCGTAGACACGCCGCACGCCGGGGTGTTTTTGTGCACTATTTGTGGTTACGTTGACTGTCAGAAATCGGTTTTCTTCCGGATTCGAGATTTATCTGTGTCCATTTGTCTCTTTTCTTAAAGGAAGTGGTTTCTTCCCCCTTCTTTGGAAAACATACAGTCCCTCTTATAATGAAAGGATTCGAGGATACGCCTTCCTTCAGGCCAGACACAGGCTCGAGGTCCTTCTGAAATAAGGAACTTGCGTGAGCGGGGCGGACGTGTCATGGTAAAGCCCCCGGAAAGTTCTGTTCTAGCCGTGGACACGAAGAGTGTTCAGACACCCTCCCACTTTCTCCGGGAAGGCAGAGGCCACACAGCGGCCGCTCGGCCTGGGCTTTCTCTTCCCAAGTCCTCACCCTCCACCAGAAGGAATCTGAAATCACATTCTTCCAGTTTAGGGCAAGGTAGCTTTTCTAAAACTAACGTCTTTCGGGTCATTGTCAGGAGCTACATGCCGTCTGAAAGCTGGGACACAGGTAAGACCTGGAAACGTCACACCAACTAGCCTCGTGGTCCATACGCTTCGTGGGAAGCCACGTTTGACGCAGCTCCACGGGCTGCCACGCACGTCCCGTCTAAAGAAAGTAAAGGGCAAGGGTTTGGGGGGAGAGAGTTCCACGCTGGCCTTCGACCAATTCCAAGGAACTTTGTGAGCAAAACAGGAGGGGGAACTTAGCAAAGGTGAGCACACCGAGGTGTGCTGGGCACACGCCCCTGCCTCTGCACCGCCAGCCTTTCCCGCGGTGGGCGTGTGGTCCGCCACTCGTAGCCCCTCTGGCCCCTGACTGGTGATCCTTTCGGTCATTCGGAATCACCTCACACTTCTTACCGGTTTCCCAGTGCTCGTGTCACTGGCTAATTTGAGGGATAAGATTATCCCTCATTTGTAAATTAGATCTTCCACCCTTCGGGTGATGGTGCGAAATTACGCAAACTGCTCCCGTGGAAGGGCCATCTATAAAGTGTATTCACTTCACGTGTTACACCCAGGAGACCAGATGGGCGAGGCGGCTGGTGCAGCCTGATCTATCTTTCTCCCCTCGATTTTTCTTAGCGACTTGACTGGCATTCCATAAACTGCACATATTTAAAGTGTACCACTTGATGTGTATACATACACACACACGTTTAAAAACTTTTTTTAATGTTTTATTTTTGAGAGAGAGAGAGACAGAGCCTGAGCAGGGGAGGGGCAGAGAGAGAGGGAGACACAGAATCCGAAGCAGCTCCGGGCTCCTAGCTGTCAGCACAGAGCCCGACGCGGGGCTCGAACCCACAAGCCGCGAGATCATGACCCGAGCCAAAGTCGGACGCTCAACTGACTGAGCCACGCAGGCGCCCCCCCCACACACACTTTAAGTGTGAAGCCATCACCACAATCAAAATAGTGACCCAATCCATCAACCCCAAATTTACTTGTGCCCTTTTATAAACCCTCTTCTCCACCCTCGGTTTCCTTCCCCTCCCCTGAGCAACCCCTGGTCTTCCTGTCATTGTATATCTGTTTGTGTCTCCTAGAATTTGACATAAAAAGAATAATACAGGGACACCTGAGTGGCTCAGTCAGTGAAGCACCCGCCTCATGATTTCAGCTCAGGTCACTATCTCACAGTTGGTGGGATCGAGCCCCATGTCAGGGCTGTGCTGACAGCACGGGGCCTGCTTGGGATTCTCTCTCTCTCTCTCTCTCTCTCTCTCTCTGCCCCTCCCCTGCTCTCTCTGTCTCTCTCAAAATAAATAAACTGAAAAAAAACCAAGAAGAATACAGTATGTTCTCTTTTCAGTCTGACTTCTTTCACTCAGCAGAATTATCTGGAGCTTCTTCTGCACCAGTTCAGTCTTTCTGTCTGTTGTGTGGC